CCTAAAGCCCTGCTCCAGAGCTGCCTCCTCCCCACCTTGCCCAGGGACCCACGGCAGTTGTCAGCTCCCCTGTTTATGGATAGGGTCCTACCAAATTCAGTTTGGTAAATGTCATCACCCTAGAACTTAAAATATCTAAAACCATAAAATTTAAGTTTTTTACTGTTGTAAACTGATGAAGTCCCAACCTAAAAACAGGTTGGGAGGGTGGCAAGGCGCATGCATTATCCATAGGCACAGGAAGCAGAGGTACAGGGCGCACTGCAGCACCTGCAGATTTTGCATCCAGATTCCCTGTGTCCAAGGACCAGCCCTGCTGCCAATCCACTGCCAGCTCCACCAGCTCCAACTTCTGACCTTCAGGGTTCTGCTGGTTCTGCCAGCTTCAACATCCCCTGGGATCCAGCCAGCTAACTCCAGAGTCCAGGTCACATTTTTGGCTTCAGCATGGCCCAAGGTTTGACCGTCACAACCCTATGCGTGGCCCCAGCCTGGGGCATTGAGCGTCATGAACCTGTGGGGGTGGGAGGCTCACACCAAAAAATAGTTCCAGCGCCACTGACCCTCAAGCCTGTGGAGAGACAATGGGGTTGTGGTATTGCCACCCTTACTTCTGCGCTGCTGGTCAGGGGGTGGTTGCTGGCCAGGAGCCCAGCTCCAAAGGCAGCGCTGCTACTAGCAGCAGCACAGAAGTAAAGGTGACATGATACAATGCCACTCTCACTTCTGTGTTGTTGTGGGCAGTGGCACTTCCTTCCGAGCTGGGCTCCCAGACAACACCCGCAGAGCTTCCTGCAGCTGGAGGGTGGTTACCAGAAGTGGGTGACCCATTTGGGGAAGAGGAAGTCCTGCCTCTCCCCAGTCCAGCCACGACTAGCAGCTAGAGCCCAGTGCATGAAAGGAGCCTCCAACTGGAGCACCTCCAGCTGTGCCCCTCCCCAGCTCCAGGCCACAGTATTTGGGGGTTAAAGGAGCCTTAACTCTGTGTGTGGGAAGGTGACCATGTCGCTCCCCCAACCATGGCATGCCTGGTGGTTACCCACATCTCTACCCACTATCCCCTCAAAAACAATGACCCCCATATTCTGCCACCACCACTTCTGTGCTGCTGCTGGCAGGGTTCTGCCTTCAGAGCTAAGTGCCTGGCCAGCAGCTGCCACTTCCTGGATCTCCAGCTCTTAAATCAGCACAAGGGTGGCAATCTGCAAACTCCATCTCCCCCCCCTTCAAATAGCCAGATTTCACAGAAGAGACCAGATAGCAGGGTGACTCTTTTTGCGTGGCTGTGAATCTGGTAGGGATCTACTTATGGAGATAATGAATTATACATTTAATAGTAACCTGCTGTGCCACCATGGTCTGGCTGCAAAGGCCAATTACAGCCAGCTGAGCAAGCCCAGGCCTGACGGGCTAATGGAAACAGCTGTAGGCTTCAGAGGGCTATATAAGTGGGCCAGAGGGGGAGGAGCCAGAGAGTGGCTGAGTGTGCATGCTTATGCCCCAGCCAAAAGAAGATAGCTAGAGTTGCTGCTGGAAAAACCCCTAAGCTCTGTAAATAAAAGGTGGTGGGAAATCGGCACAAGCAAAAGAAAGACACAGGTGATTGCACAAGATGATTGCCTGGTGATTTGTGGCTGAAGAAAGGGTCCCACAGCAAGCGGCCTGGGCAAAGACCTTGCCACACTACGTAACGTATGTCTGATCTGCAATATGTTACTGCGTCCCAGGTATTAAAAGGCTGGAAAACAGTGTAAGGGAGTTACCACAGACTAGAGCCAAACCATGGATCCTTCTTTCAGAAACACTGTTACACAACAGTAAAGAGAAAAAGACACAGACAGAGAAAAGTTTTGAGACAAAATTTGAAAGGAGGTCAAGAGTTGATGAAGCCGAAAGATAGCAGAAGGTTGCTCCAGATGGCATGAGCTGCCGACGAGAAGGCTCTGGCACTAAAAGCAGCAATATTGTGGGAAGGCACACAGAAAAGGGGCACGGTGGTTACATGTGAATACAGTAGTCTCATTTTAGCATAAACTATGCAGTTATAAATGGTAATGTAGCATTCACTATAACCCCATTTTCAGTTAATAACCTTCTGAAGATTCTACTTTAAGACAAATCATAACTTCAGCCCTGAACTACATTTTTGTTTTTTGAAATTTTGAGCAGTAGCCACCAGTCATTTTAAGCAGCGGAAAAGATATACTTTTCGGCTACGACTAGACTGGCATGATTTTCCGCAAATGCTTTTAACGGAAAAGTTTTCCGTTAAAAGCATTTGCGGAAAAGAGCGTCTAGATTGGCACGGACACTTTTTTCTGCAAAAGCACTTTTTGCAGAAAAGTGTCTGTGCCAATCTAGATGCGCTTTTGCGCAAAAAAGCCCCGATCGCCATTTTCGTCATCGGGGCTTTTTTGCGCAAAACAAATCTGAGCTGTCTACACTGGCCCTTTTGCGCAAAAGGACTTTTGCCCAAATGGGAGCAGCATAGTATTTCTGCAAGAAGCACTGATTTCTTACATGAGATAGTCGGTGTTCTTGTGGAAATTCAAGCGGCCAGTGTAGACAGCTGGCAAGTTTTTCCACAAAAGTAAGTGCTTTTGCGAAAAAACTTGCCAGTCTAGACACAGACTCTGTTTAAAAAAAAAAAATGCAGACTTTTTTCACACGAGAAACAGAAATAGTTGGTCTTAAAGGTCTCATTCTGGCAAACATGAACAAGTGCCATTTGAAGTCAATGGGATGGCTCCTTTGTGTAAAATTACTCACATGCAAAACTGTAGGATAAAGGACCAAACCTACTATTTTCACGTGTTGGTAGATTGCAATGAGATGCTCAGATACTGCATTAATGAGGTATATAAGTACTTACAATAAATATGGAGAGAAGTTTGAAGCATGTTTAAAATAACTTTAAACATGTAATAGAGAATATAAAACATTTTAAAGTGACAAGCAATTACAACCCACTTTTGGCATGGACAGTAAATACATATGTATACAATATAGAACTCACCTGCTGCTCTGTACAGTTTTGAAGTGATGACTGTGCAAAACCCCTCACCAAGTAATGCAGTGTAAAATGTAGGGAATCGTGCAAAATAATTATTACATCTTGCATAATTGTTTCCTCTTTTTAAAAATAGAAGAAATCAAATGCAAATTCTATGTTCGTAAAACGTTAAAATTCCAACTCTGACAATGAAAAAAATTGAGAGTTTAAAAAAAAAAAATGCAGACTTTTTTCACACGAGAAACAGAAATAGTTGGTCTTAAAGGTCTCATTCTGGCAAACATGAACAAGTGCCATTTGAAGTCAATGGGATGGCTCCTTTGTGTAAAATTACTCACATGCAAAACTGTAGGATAAAGGACCAAACCTACTATTTTCACGTGTTGGTAGATTGCAATGAGATGCTCAGATACTGCATTAATGAGGTATATAAGTACTTACAATAAATATGGAGAGAAGTTTGAAGCATGTTTAAAATAACTTTAAACATGTAATAGAGAATATAAAACATTTTAAAGTGACAAGCAATTACAACCCACTTTTGGCATGGACAGTAAATACATATGTATACAATATAGAACTCACCTGCTGCTCTGTACAGTTTTGAAGTGATGACTGTGCAAAACCCCTCACCAAGTAATGCAGTGTAAAATGTAGGGAATCGTGCAAAATAATTATTACATCTTGCATAATTGTTTCCTCTTTTTAAAAATAGAAGAAATCAAATGCAAATTCTATGTTCGTAAAACGTTAAAATTCCAACTCTGACAATGAAAAAAATTGAGATGCCTAAGTTCGCTCATGGTTGTTAGGAGCAGAAGATTGGTCTTGTGATGAAAGCAGTAGGCTAGGAATCAGATTATATTACAGGTTGAGATAGGAAATCTGTGTGACCTTGATCAAGTCACTCAGCCTGATTTTCATCTCATACATAGGCAGCCCCACCACAAGGCTTTACTATTGTGGTGGTCTTTGCTTGTGTTTTTACCATAGGATCAAATTTTATCTTCTGGGCCTAAGACAGCTCCTGCAATTACATTAGTTAGGGGACAAAGTTACAGGAATGACCAATACTAATTATTCATGACATAGGCTGATTATAATAAGAGCCAAGAAAAACAAAACAAAAACAACAAACTTTCCCTGCATGGTATAAAATTTCAGTTATATTATGGAGGTTTTGCGCCTTCCTTCTAAGGATTTGTCATTGACAAACATATGTTAGCGAAACGTAACCTGTTCTAGTTTGGCAAGTTCCATGTTATGCAAAACATCCCTGGGGTGATGCAGTAAATAGAGAGAGATCTTTTATAGCTATCTCTGTCCAGTTAGAGGATAGTAGGGATGTGTTATATAATTGTTTAAGCTCTGAGAGAGAAATGCAACAG